TCGCAACCAATCATTATTGTGTGGACTATGGTCCACACAAGTTGTGTGGACTATGGTCCACACAAGTTGTGTGCACCATATTTTGTCTACTGTAAAATAATGTAAATTCAGTACAAAAATAATATACATTATATTCAGAGAATGTACATTATTGTTGTTCTGAGTGTACATTATAATAATAATAATAATAATAATAATAATAATAATAATAATAATAATAATAATAATAATAATAATAATTGCGGTGAAAAAGTTGCGGATAAAGGAGAAGAGAAAATGGTTTTAATTGGGAAGGGTAATTATGTCATTTCTTTAAAATAATAAGGATAAAGATGGAAAAAAAGTTAGGAAGCTAGGAGCTTATTTTGAAATGCTACCTAATGTAGCGTTCCAAAATAAGCTCTTATTTTAAGCTAGTAGCTTATTTTTGGAACATTACCAAACAAAGCTTATAGCTTATTAGTAGCTTAAAATAAGCTATAAGCTCCTAAATAAGCTCTGCCAAACAGAGCCTTATTCACCAATTTTGCAAATGTCTTAAAAATGAGTTTCAATTCTTGGTATTGCATGACACATTTATTACCTATTCCTGCTTTTATTTAAAACTAGTATTGTCCTGTGTGATGCACGGACTAAATATTAAAGATTTGTTTGTAATGTTAGAATAGGTAAAAAATATTTTTAATAATGGTATTTGAAGTACAGAAGAAGAAAACATGAACCACAATTTAATTGTTTAAAATTACATTTTTATTAAATATATGACAAAATAACTATGATATTGTACTTACAATATTTAATTTAATAATTGAAAATAGTATGATACAAAACGTGACTATTATTAATCGCAGCTAACGGTATACATATTTGATCTTGAGTATGTCTACTCCTAGTATACTACCCATGCGATGCAAGAAATGAATATTGGACAACATTATAATAATATTATTTATTAAAAAATACATAACCTAATATCAACATAGTTGCAATTCATATTCATATATATATATATATATATATATATATATATATATACACACACACACACACACACACACACACACATACCATATGGTTTTGTGAAAATTAAATGTTGTTAATACCAACATTTAACCGTTAATATCAACATTTAATTTTCACAAGACCATATGGCTTTATTATAATTAAGATAAAATGCACTTTCCTCAATCCTCAAACCCTCAACATTAAGACTTTGAAAAATTCAAGAACTACTCAACCCCAAGTCTACATTAGTTGGAGAAGAACAACTCCATATCTTCATTCTCTACTTGTAAAAATCCCGAGGCTTGTGGCTAACTTTATGATATAAACAAAGTCCTCTCCATTTGTATTAGGAGTGAACAACACTAGTGGAACCTCTTAAGATATTTTAGGAGGAGAGAATTAGAGCAAGTTGATTGAATCACTATATAAGTCCTTGTCTGACTTTACATGTCACATTTACTTATTGTTGCCTTGTTTTATCTTTCATCACAACAAATTTTGTAAATAAAGATGAGTATGCCACATAATTAAAAGGGTACGGTATAACATTATTTTCGTTGCATTAAAACCCATATTTACAAAATTACTTATTTGTAAAAGTTTTCAAAGTTAACAAGTCTATTCACCCTCCCCTCCCTCATCTAGACTTGTTCGGACACTATTTGAGACCGACAATTTATTCATCCCTTCACCCCCTCCCCCAATATAGACTTATTCTTCTAAACTAGGACTGACAATAATGACAATTTAATAGTAACAAGTACTAAATGATCACAATTATCATCCCATTTATTTATCACGACAATCAATTATTTTTTATCACAAAAAATCTATTATTTATGAAAAAATTATATATATATATATATATATATATATATATATATATATATATATATATATATATATATATATATATATATATATATAGTGGCACAATTTTTTTTTATTTTTTTTTCGTTAGATGTCCTAATTTTTGAAGTGAGTCTTCAAACTGCAAAATTTTATTTGGTCGAGTAATATCTCATTTTGAGTCCTATATTCTCTTTAGAAAATTCTTTCTTAATTTTCAGCTTTATCATTTCATTAATGTTGGAGGAAAATGTCAATTATACTTGAACAAAATTTTACTTCCTTCACATGTCGTGATCTTATTAAAGGTAGAGAAGTGATGGATGATGAGAAATTATTATGTGGACTCGGGTCTAAAGATACAGAATTTACATACTATTTAATATTCACAATTCAGTTTTAAAAATTCATAATTTCTAATGACAATGTATTCTATTCACAAATTTCCAAAACATAGAAACACAATTTCTATTTTAAAATTTCACAATTCCAATACTTAAAATACAGAATTTAGGACTAGGATCCACTTTGTAAGGTGGACCACAAACATTATTACATAGACCATGGTCCATACAACTGTGTTGACCAGAAATAAAAAGTACATTTTTAATATACTAAAAATACATTATATATGTACATAAAGTACATTATTTGAAATTACATTATTTGAGTACTGAAAGTACATTATTTTTATTTACTATTAAATAATGTACATTCGGTACAAAAATAATGTACTTTTAGTTTATTAAAAATGTACTTTGTATTCATGGTCCACACTACTATGTGGACCATGGTCCACACAATAATCTGCCGGTGGACCGTGGTCCATGGTATAACAACTCATGGATGGTCAGCAATTATACTGTGGACCACGATCCACAATGCATTGTGGGTCGCGGTCGTAATACGCCGCCGTTTCTTTAAGTAAAGAAACGACAGCCATTACAGCTTAATAGAGCGCGTATGAAACTGAATAACATTTCACATATTTGAGTGTATATAGTGTAATGAAACTGTAGTTATATCGAAATGATAATATAGTTGTGTTGTAATGAAATTATAATGTATATAAAATGAAACTAAATAACAATTTCATGTATTTGAGAGTGAATATGTATACAAAACGAAACTGAATATGTTATACAACCAAAGTTACTTTTTTGCGGATGGCGCGGAACATGTGCTGTTTCTTTTAATTAAAAGAAACGATATTGTTTTGATGTCTGAACCACAACGCATTATGGACCGCAGTCCACAGTATAATTTGTCATGGATGGTATACTGGGCCTGGGCTATATTGACCTGCCAAAGAGAGTAATTCAATCAATGAAGCCCAAAAAGGGCACATAATATGGAGCAACGTAGGTGTTTAATAAGGATTAGACTCATTATTCCTAATGTAGTAAGATTATGACTTATTATTTCCAATGTAACAAAGACTCTCAATAATTGCTAGTCTAGAATTCTTATTCCTTCTATGACTCTATGTCCAAAATATGTATAAATAAACTCATACATGGCGAAATGACAAATGTACTTTTTATTTATAGTCCACACAGCTGTGTGGACCATGGTCCATGTAATAATGATTGTGGGAAAAGTAGGAGCAATATAATTTCCCCTATTCATAAATAGTATTCTTCAATACAAAATACATATATTCTCTCCGTATATTCTCTCTATATTTTTTCTATATACTCCTTATTTTAACGATAATGTTGGCCACTACTCAAAAGTCATAAAATCAACATTGACTCCGTCCGTGAAAATTAAATCAATTAATACAAATAGTCTCGTGATCCCTACCCTAGAATATTCTTGTTCAAGTTTCTTCAGTATTATGAAAAAAACACAGGTGAATAATTGTTTTCCGGTGTTGCAGTTTCAATTCGGCAGCGCTGGGCGGCAACTCTTCTTCTTGGTTTGCTACAATCATAATTAAATTAGGAGTGTATGGGAAATTAAAGGAAATGGTTTGTGAGCTGAGGATTGTATTCAGCTGCATTTTTCTTCGTATTTGAATTTATTATGTCATTAGTATGAAGATAAGCATACTTGGTTAAGGTATTGATGGGGATATTGGGTGTGGGCCATGGACGCAGAGAGCTTATGGAATTGGGCCGACAAGGGGGGGGGGGGGGGGGGGACAAAGTTGGGCCGAAGGCCAGGAGGTGCCGCCGGCGCCACCCGGCGCCGGCGGCCAAACCCGGACGCCGACCGGGGCGCTGGCCCCGGTCGGCCGCGGCGTGCCCAGCGCGCGCTGGGCGCGGGCCAGCGTGGCCTCAGCGCCCGGCGCGCGGGGGGCCGCAGCCGGCCCCAGGCGGGGGCCGGCGCCGGTGGCCGAGCGACGGCACCGACCGGGGCGTTGGCCCCGGTCGGCCGTGGCGCGACCAGCGCGGCCTCGGCGCCCAGCGCGTGCTGGGGGGCCACAGCCGGCCCCGGGCAGGGGCCGGCACCGGCGGCCGGGGCGCTGGCCCCGGTCGGCCACGGCGCGACCAGCGCGCCCTCGGCGCGGGCCAACGTGGCCGTGACGCAACCGGCGCATTTGGCGCGCGGCCCCGGCGTCCCGCGGTGTTGGTCTCGGGCGACATCCGCAGGCGGGGGTGGGTGCGCCGAGCATGGTGAGTTGGGGGGTGGTGTGAGTGAGGTGGCAAAGGCAATAGGAGTCGAGAAAGGCGGAGAACGTGGTGTAAATGGCGAGAGGCAAGCGGAGTGGGGAAGTGGGGATGGATTGCATGGGACACGTGGACGCTAATGGAGGAGGGGGGCTTGCTATAAATAGGAGCCCTGGATCTCTGGCTAAGGGGGCAACACAGACACGACAGGCACTGCAGTCTAGTGGTCTTGATCCATACTCTCAATCTAGTCACCTGGGTTCGATTCCTGTCAATAGCATAGTTAGCTATAGCCCACCTTATGGGCCTTGTCCTTTGTGTTTGGGTCGCTGTTCTTGGGCCTGTACCTCGGGCTTCTATACATATCGTGTTGGGCCTAGCGCCCTACCCCCCGTTCTGTACTCTCTGTACTCGGTTTATGGTGGACCCGGTCCTAATAAAACCATCATTGGCACCGTCTGTGGGGATCGCTACGATTAGCCCGTGTTTGTAGTCTCTACCACTCTAAACAGAATTCCGAGGTACGCCGAGATGGTCAACCCCTCAGGAGAGCGCCCGCCTAACCCCCCGCGTAGCGGAGACGGGCAGGACACCGGCCGCGAGGTGTCGGAGGAAGCACCCGCCTCGGTTCGCGCTGAGGACGGGGGACGCGGAGGTGGCGAACGAGCCAACATGATTCACTCTGAGCAGCCCCCGGTGGGCCCGATAGTGGTACCACGTGGCCGAGGGCCGCGAAGGGCTGACGCTTGCGAGGTCGGATTGGAGGAAGCCGAAGGTGAAAACGCGTATCGACCCCCGGGGCCGGCGACCCGAGCCAGCCCCAGCCCCCCGGCGGGGTGGTTAGACGCGATTAACACCAAAATGGATGAGTTGGTGCGATGGAAGGAACATGGCACTCACGTCTTGATCCCCCGGATCTCCCTCACTCCGCCCTTCACCCCCAATATCATGAACGAACCTCTTCCCCCCAACTTTAAAGCCCCTGACATGAGAAGGTATGACGGTACAGGCGACCCGCAGGAGCACGTCCTGACATACCAGGCAGCTATGATGCTCATGGGGTCGTTAGACGCCCTGATGTGTCGCGCGTTTTTCTCTACGCTATCAGGGGGGGCGCAGCGATGGTTCACGAACCTGAAAGGCGGTTCGCTAGGCTCGTTCCAAGACCTGGCCACCCAGTTCATTACCCATTTCCTGAGAGGGAGGAGGCGCAAGAAGCATTTCACACATCTCGCTAGCGTCAAGCAAGGGGAGGATGAAACCCTCACCCAGTTCCTCACGCGGTGGAGAAAGGAGGAAGCCGAGGTGGAGGACATGGACGACCGGTTTGCAATGGTCATGTTCATCGCAGCCCTCCGTGCTGGGGAGCTGTACAAGAGCCTCCGCCGCAAGGCCCCCGGCTCGTACGCAACCTTGATGATGAAGGCAGACCGGTATGCCGAAGCTGAAGAAGCCAACCGCATGAAGCGCATAGAAGAGCACGGCAGCAGCAAGAAGCCAAGGATCGAGGAACCGTCACGTCTTAAGAAGGGAGCTAGTTATTCGCGGGAAAGTCTGGAGGATAAGGTGGTTAGCGCCGGGGGGAGGGGGAGGCCCGCGGCGGGTTCACGAGCCCCCCGCCATGGACACCGCCGGCGCCTACCCCGGCGCGGGCCACCACGTCAGCACCCCTGGCGGCACGGCCAGCCCCGCGGGTCGCCCCTTTCACCCCGCTTATCGCCCCACCTAGCGATATCTTAGCTTATGCAGAGGAGTGTCAATTGGTGAAAACATTTGGTCCCAACCAAATCCCGCCGGGTGCAGACACCTCGAGATATTGTAAATTTCACCGCCGCTACGGCCACGCCACCAACGATTGTCAGGCATGGAGGAAAGAGATAGAGTTCCTCATACAAGCAGGGAAGTTGACGAATTTCATAGACTGGGAGCGGTTGGCTGCGAGGAACGCTAAACGTCCGACGATCGGGCCTGTAGGGGAGGCTAAGGGAAAATCGACTGACTCCGGGGAGGGCCCGGGGAGGCGCCCAGTGATCAATGTCATCTTTGGGAGAGGGGCCTCGAGGGTAGATGGTGGCTGTTATGTAGGTGCAGTGGACGAACACCCCCAGTTGAAAAGGCTCCGCCGGGAACCGATTTGGTTTTCAGACAATGACCTGCCAGCACGGGAGACTACTCCGAAGGACGCACTCGTAGTAGCCATGGTGGTCAACGGGGTCTGCGTCAAGCGCGTGCTTGTGGATACAGGCAGCAGTGTTAACGTAATGTATCATGACGTGTTCGTGAAATTAGGACTGAGCGAGGATCAGCTCCGACCGGTGAGGACGCAACTGGCTGGTTTCACTGGGGACACCATAGAGACAGAAGGGTCGATAGTGCTTCCTGTGGAAGTTGGTAACCCCCCGCACGTGAAAAAAGTGGACATGGAGTTCCTCGTGGTGAGGATAGTATGCGCCCATAACCTCATCTTAGGGAGGCCTGGGCTGGCAGCATTGGGCGGACTTATTTCGATGGAGCATTTATGTTTGAAATTCCATACCCCCGAGGGGGTGGGGACGGTACGGGGTGATCAGCATCTCGCCCGAAAGTGCTATGAGACGGCATGCGAGAGAATGCTGACGGAAGAGTTACCTGTCCATACTGTGGAGAAGGAGGCTGAGAGGGAGAAAAAAGGTAGGGCCCGAGCCAGCTGTGGAGTTGGAGGAGATCCCCCTGGACCCAAGTCGACCAGACAAGTGCGTTAGGATAGGCAAGGGCCTTGCCCCGGGACTACGGGAACAGGTCATCGCCGTTCTGCGCGAATACTCGATGATATTCGCGTGGGGTCCCGAAGACATGCCCGGGATCGACCGATCCATCATATCGCATAGACTGGCGATAGATCCCAGTTTCAAACCCGTTAAGCAGAAAAGACGACACCTGTCAGCTAAGAGGAGGGCATTCGTGAAGACAGAAGTAGACACGCTCCTAGCGATAGGGCATATACGGAAGGCAATGTATTCGGCATGGCTGGCCAACGTGGCCCTAGCCCCGAAGCCGCCCACATGGCGCATGTGCGTGGACTACACGGATTTAAACAAGGCATGCCCCCAAGACCCTTTCCCTTTGCCCCGTACGGATCAATTGGTAGACGAGACATCGGGATGTGAGTTGCTGAGTTTTATGGATGCGTTCAAAGGGTACCACCAAATCTTCATGGCAGAAGAAGACGAAGAGAAAACGGCGTTCGTGACCCCAGATGGGATATATTGTTATCGGGTCATGGCGTTCGGTTTAAAAAATTCCGGGGCCACATTTACCCGTATGGTAGCAGAAATATTCAAGGACCTCCTGGGGAACATAATGGAGGCCTACGTGGACGATATGCTGGTCAAGAGCAAGGATGCCGGTACCCACCCAGCATATCTGACCCAATGCTTCGAGATTATGAAGCAGAAGAACCTACGCCTGAACCCGAAGAAATGCGCGTTCGTAGTGACGGGGGGAAAATTCCTGGGGTTCATGGTCACTCACCGGGGGATAGAGGTCAACCCCGAAAAGGCACAGAACATCCTCAAGATGCAGCCCCCAACATCGATAAAAGATGTCCAGAGACTCAACGGCCGGCTGGCCGCCTTGAACAGATTCATGTCCAAGCTCGCGGAGAAGTCCCTCCCATTCTTCCAGGTCATGAAACAAAGGAGCGGCTTCACCTGGACCCCGGAATGCCAGGAGGCCTTCGATCAATTTAAAGCATATTTGTCCGCGGCACCGGTCCTTTCCAAGCCAGAGAAAGGGGAGACATTGTACGTATATCTTGGGGTAGCACCCGCGGCCATTAGCTCGGTGATACTCAGAGAGGAAACAGGCATCCAGAAACCTATCTACTACGTTAGCAGGGCCCTACATGACGCCGAGCTCAGGTACACCCCGCTTGAAAAAACAGTATACGCCCTCGTGAGAACGGTCCGAAAACTGGTATACTACTTCCAAGCACACCATGTGATTGTCCTGACAGACCAGCCCCTGGGCACCATCTTGAGAAACCCAGTCTAGTCAGGCCGCATGGTGAAGTGGGCGGTCGAACTCTCCCAGTATAGTCTCGAGTACCGCCCCCGCACAGCTATCAAGGGTCAAGCCCTCGCTGACTTCATCGTGGAGTGCACCATCCCGGTACGCCAGGAGGGACAGACTGAAGAAGGCGCAGGAGAGTGGGAAATATATACCGATGGTGCCTCGAGTAAAAAGGGTTGCGGCGGTGGCGTCGTGCTCATCTCGCCAGAAGGATTCAAGGCCTACCAAGCCCTCAGATTCTGCTTCCCTCTCTCCAACAACGAAGCTGAATATGAGGCATTGATCGGGGGCCTGAGGTTGGCCCAGGCCTTGCAAGCACGCCACCTCAAGATTCGGTCAGACTCACGACTGGTCGTGGGCCACGTCAACAATCAGTTCGAAGCACGGGAAGACAGGATGCGGCAATACCGAGATGTAGTCCAAAGACTATTGGCATCCGTAGAGCGGTGGGAACTAGCCCAGATTTCGAGGACAGACAACGGCGAGGCAGACCTTCTGTCCCGCGTGGCTCAAGGTGTCGAAGACCACCTAAGTTATGTGTCTAAGATAGCTCGGACAATTGACATCGATGCACCCAGCATAGATAAGGACGAGGTCCTGGCTGTAATACCATCCCCAGATGAATGGATGCAGGAGATGATCCGTTACAAGGAACAAGGTCTAGCACCCCTCGACCCTCAACGAGCACGGAAAATAGTGTCCATGGCCCCGTCTTACAGGATGGTTGAAGGAAGATTATTCAAACTATCCTTTGGAGGGCCCATGCTCCGATGCTTAACCCGAGCAGAAGCCGACAAAGTCATAGCGAAAGTCCATGAAGGAGTGTGCGCTGCACACCAGGGCGCCTAAACCCTGGCCAGGAAAATTATCTTGCAAGGGTATTACTGGCCCCGCATTAGATCCGATTGCCAGGACTACGTGAGGAAGTGCCCTACATGCCAGCAATTCGCGATTTTACCCGGCAAACCTGCCTCTTATTACACCCCGGTCACTTCAGCCATCCCATTCGCGCGTTGGGGCATCGACTTGGCGGGTCCTTTCCCAAAAGGGGTGGGAGGCTTGAAGTTCCTAATCGTGGCCATAGATTATTTCACCGAGTGGGTAGAAGCAAAGCCCCTTGCCTCCATCACAGGGACCCAGTGCCGAAAATTTGTATGGAAAAATATCTTCACGAGATTTGGGTTACCCCACCAAATCGTGTCCGACAACGGCAAACAGTTTGACAACCAAGAATTAGATCATTTTTGCGCTTATTACGGGGTGGAGCATATCAAGGTCACCGTAACCTATCCCCAAGCTAACGGTCAGGTAGAGAATGCCAACCGCACCATCATTGACGGAATTAAGAAGAGAGTCGAAGCAACGGGGTCCACCTGGTACGAGGAACTACCGTCCATATTATGGGCCTATAGAACAACCCCCCGAAAAGCAACGAGAGATACCCCTTTCGCGCTCACATATGGGTGCGAAGCACGGACACCAGTAGAAGTGATAACCCCCGCGAGTAGGAGCACACGGTTCCAACCTGGCCAGAATGAGGAAGACATCCGGGTTGAATTGAATTTCCTACAGGAGAGGAGGGAGGCAGCCAGACGAAATATTGCTATCTACCAACAGGCGATTAAGCGCTACCACGACGCAAGAACATGCCCCCACAATTTCCAGGTCGGCGACCTAGTCCTGCGACGACGAGAAGCCAGCAAACCACTTCAGGGTGGCAAGCTAGCCAAGAATTAGGAGGGGCCGTACAAAGTGGCGGAGTCAGTGCACAAAAACACTTACAAACTTAAAACAATGCAGGGCAGGACCGTGAACCGCGTTTGGAACGCCCACCACCTACGAAGGTTCTTTCAGTAAATAGAATAGCTCAAGGTATGACAAATAACGCGACTCCCATGACATTACCGTGGTATGTTGCATCGTAAGTGATTTATATCCGCGTTTGGAACGCCCACCACCTACGAAGGTTCTTTCAGTAAATAGAATAGCTCAAGGTATGACAAATAACGCGACTCCCATGGCATTACCGTGGTATGTTGCATCGTAAGTGATTTATATTTCCCTTGTAGACGACATTGTGTCGCATGTTAATAATATCCGCGATTTTCACACATTGCATTGAATGTTACAGACTTTCGGCGGATGGGGCATGTGGGTTATTGCAACCCACATGCGCGGACTTGCCCCCGGCAAGCCGCATGCATTTGGCGGATGTGGCATGTGGGTTATCGCAACCCACATGCGTGGACTTGCCCCCGGCAAGCCGCATGTATTTGGCGGATGGGGCATGTGGGTTATCGCAACCCACATGCGCAGACTTGCCCCCGGCATGCCGCATGTATTTGGCGGATGGGGCATGTGGCTTATCGCAACCCACATGCGCGGATTTGCCCACGGCAAGCCGCATGTATTTGGCGGATGGGGCATGCGGGTTATCGCAACCCACATGCGCGGACTTGCCCCCGGCAAGCCGCATGTATTTGGCGGATGGGGCATGTGGGTTATCGCAACCCACATGCGCGGACTTGCCCCCGGCAAGACGCATGTATTTGGCGGATGGGGCATGTGGGTTATCGCAACCCACATGCGCGGACTTGCCCCCGGCAAGCCGCATGTATTTGGCGGATGGGGCATGTGGGTTATCGCAACCCACATGCGCGGACTTGCCCCCGGCAAGCCGCATGTATTTGGCGGATGGGGCATGTGGGTTATCGCAACCCACATGCGCGGACTTGCACCCGGCAAGCCGCATGTATTTGGCGGATGGGGCATGTGGGTTATCGCAACCCACATGCGCGGACTTGCCCCCGGCAAGCCGCATGTATTTGGCGGCAAATGAAAATAGACTATCACTAGATTATTAAGGTTGCCGAAATATCCAAAAATTACAAAAAAAAAAAAAAAAAAAAGAGGAGCGAAAATAGACTATCATTAGATTATTAAGGTTTCCGAAATTACAAAAAAAAAAAAAAGAAAAAAAAAGAAAAAAAAAAAAAGACTATGGGGCCGCAGAAGCAGCAGCTGAGCTAGAAAATCCAGAGCCTGAGTTGATAGTGAGATGGAGATCGGAAGGGTCTACACTCCAGACAATACCAGATCCGGCCACAGGTTCCGAGGGAGCCGCAACAGACGACGTCACACCATGTTGCGCCGCCTCGGGGGTCATAAGCACATCGCCGCCAGCGGGTGTAGTAGACGAAGGAGTGGCCCGAGCCCGAGTAGGTCGAAGAGGAAGGACGCCTGGCAGTTTCCACCCTTCAATACTGAAAGAGGTAAATCGACGCTCTAGCTTCCCGTAAAGCCTATCCTGCATATCCCGTTGTCCCATGTAGAACGCCGCATTGCATTCCTGCACCAACCTGTTTTGACCTTCTAGCGTCTCGCGCAACCACACCTCCGCTACCGGCCCCATGGCCGCCCTGCCTCCGGGGGTAGTGGCCCACTCCTGGAGGACCTGTACAAGTGGAGGGCCCGTATAATCCTGGTACTCCTGCACAGATTGCCACCCTAACATGGCCTCGACCATACCTTCGCCAGAACGATCCGAATGCCCTAACCACCAGCGGATCAGCCCAGGCATACGTGTGCACGAATATTCACTAGCAGCACGCGCAAAATCTTCAGTCTTTTGCCAGTCCTCCACGGCACCCTCAAGGGCTTTGTCATGATCTAGCCGTCGTTGTCTTTTATA